TACACACGAATTTTTTTTTCTTGTTTTTATCTCCAAAACAAAAATAAATTAATTAATAAAATATAGCAAAAACATATGGTAAAAAATAAAATCTTATTTGTACTTAAAAGTGGAAAATAAACTTTTTAATTTAAATTTAACGTTATATTTTTTAGCAAATGTTTTTGCTATTTTCATTTTCTACTTTACATGAGTCTTCTCTTTACAACGATATTTAACAATGCGTTTGTCAAGACATTTGTACTTTTTAGCCTTATGAACGGAGTTTTTCCTGATTAAAGAAAGGATTTTTTTTTTTTTTTTAAAGGGTAGAAAATTTTCATATAAAATATAAAAGTAAAATCACATACAGTAAAAAGTATTTCATTTGCTTTGCCGCCCTCGTCCTTTCACTTTGTAGTATATTTTTATGTTGTTATTAAAACAATTATGTTATAAGTTTTAATTCACACTTTTATTTCAAAAAAAAAAATTATTAAAAACAAAGTAAAAAAAAGAAATACAAACCCAAAAGCAATCTTAGCCGATTTTAAAAATGAAAAAATTTATTAATAAAAAGAAGATTCCTTTTAAAAACAAACCCGTAAGCAATTTAACAGCTAATTTAGACAGAAAAGTAAGTTTTATTTGATAATTGACATGCTATTAACCCCTTCATGGAATTTTATTCGTTCTTTATAGGCAAAAACTCTTTGTTTAGTTCGTTCTTAAATGTTGTATTCAAAGTTACTCAGACCACCAAGAATGGTCCACTAATTGGACCACCCAGAACGAACATTGCTTAAATTAGGTAAAGAAATGACACAGTAGAAAATAAATAAGGGTGGGCGGTAGAATAGTAAATTTAACTAATGAACGTTATGCTATACAAATACACTGGGTATCCAAAATGCACAACAATAAACTAGCAGGTTTTTGGAAAGAAGCGATGCTTTACACACTTAAGTCTCATTGAGTAGCAAACCAAACCAAAATAAACAAATTTTTGAGACTAAATTGATAAACAATTTTTACAAAATTGTAAAACAACTAAATACCCCTATTTTTGAAATTAAACAAATTTTAAATAAACCCATTTTTTTCAATAAAACTATTAAAAATAACAATAAAATCTAATTAATTGCGCTGTTTTAGTGGCAGACATCACAAAAACATTTTATCAGTAATTGGATTTTATCAGTAATTGGATTTCTAACTTCTGTTTCAAAAGCTTTAACAAAGTCTGAGCTGGAAAAAATAGTGATAGAATGGAAAATCTGCCGATAGAATGAAAAATCTGCCTATAGAATGAAAAAAAAAGTCTTCAAAGAAGGACAAAAATTCGACTTTAAAAAGCTTCCTTTTATATTGCAAAACGAAAAGATAAATATGAATGCAAAAATCCAACAGTTTCCACACTCTTTAAACTTCTTAATAAACCAAAAAAAACTGTACATTACAAATTTCAAAACTGGGTACAAATTTATCGTAAAAGTATAAAAACAATAAAAGATGAGAACTGGGAAAAATTTTTTATTAAAATACACAAAAAGAACTCAAATAAAAAAAACAAGGGAAATAAAATACCCCATCTCTTATAACCTGCAAATGAAATCATGTTTAATATAGGGTTGAGAAATGATTAAATATGTCCGCATATTTTATCATCCCCGCAGAAAACATGACAAGAGCGTATCTCATATGATGCATGGGTGCGAGAAAGTGCAACCTTTATTACTTTTTTCACTAAATCAACTTTATGTTGTATATTATTTTCATTCTAAAACTTTTAAATTTATTTTGTTGATGAAGTGTCATTAAAAAAAACAAAAAAACATTTACTGCTAAGTATTTATTAAAAAAATTTGAATGTAAAGTAAAATATTTGCTCAAGAATGAACTAAATGTAACTATTAATCAAAATGAAGAAAATAAACATAAAGATGAAAATAAGAAAAAATTTTAATATATTAGATACTCTAAACTTGTTTGCTGATATACATAAATATTTTGACTAATTCAATTTCTGACTTACAGTGCGGTGCAAATTTATAACCTCACCCAAAATTCAAGATCTCACATATAATTAAATAATTATTCTTAAACTATTCAATTGCTTAATGTCTTACTTAAATATTATTTCATTTGTAATAGAGTCTGATTTCATTTTGTTAATTGACTTGAACATTTTGGAGAAATGATGGTGCAAAATTATAACTTCTTTTCAATTTTACTATACAAAATTCCATAATGCTTTGTATTGCAATTTGAATTTATTGTTAATACTTTGTTTTATTGCCGCCATTCTGAATAACTTCAAATATTTGATTTGGCATACTTTCCAAATGTTTTCTAAGATCTGCAAGAGATACGTTCTTCTAAACATATACAATTGCCTTTTTCAATTCATCGACATTCGAATATTATTTCCATACTGCATAAACACGTCTTGCTAAAATGCCCCATACATTTTCGATGCGATTTAAATCAGGTGAGAGCGCTGACCATTCTAATCATTGAATTTTCTTGCTGATAAACCATGAGATATTTGACTTTGCTCTATGAATTGGAATATTATCTTGCTGGAAAATAAATTGGTGTTACCAAAGTTTTGCAAAATATCATTCAAAGACCATTCAACAAATTTCTATATCCTTTAGCATTTAATTTTGTATTAATAAAGCCAATCGAAGTTTTTTCAAAATAATTAAACGCACCCTTAATCATTACTTCTCCACCACTTTAGCATTTAATTTTGTATTAATAAAGCCAATCGAAGTTTTTTCAAAATAATTAAACGCACCCTTAATCATTACTTCTCCACCACCCATAACCCTTATTTTTGAAAACCTTTTCTCTCTTCTAATGTCATGTCAATAGTAATTGAAGTCATCTGGACCATCAAGATTGAAATTATTTTCGTCGGACCATGCAATTTTTTGCCATTCTTTTTCCCAAGTCATGTGGTCCTTGGCCCATTGAAGACGAATGCGTTTGTGTGCTTCAGTTAGTGCTGGAAATGTGCGTTTTTTTGCATATCTAAAACGTCTGACTTGTTAATTGCTCGATTCATCGTTCATTATGAGCATTTTAATCCCAAATTTCCACCTCGCGTGTCTCGCGGAGCTTGTACGGTTACTAGCGGCATGAAGAATTTGTCGCTGTTGGCGAGCTGTTAGTATAGGTTTTCTACCACTTCGATGCTTTATGCTATAATTTGTTGAATCCTTTACGAAATTATTGATTAAATGTTGTGAGCGTCTCAGTTTGAGCGTCTCAGTTTCCTATTTGATAAACCCAATGACCTCTAGGCTTCGATCTTGCCATTTTTTTATCGGAGAGTGTAATTCCACTTGACATTAGTTAGAATGTATTTTATAATTTTAAAATGTAATAAATTTATTTTTAAAAAATAATTTACTGCTATTTTTGATGGCTTTTGATTGAATTTAGATAACAAGGTTATAATTGTGCAGCACGTTTTTTAACGGTTTTATAATTTGAATCAATTAAAGTATAAATAGATTCGTGTAAGTTATTTTGTTTATTTCAAAAAAATAGAATTTGATCACAAAACTTTAAAAGATAGTTTTAAGGTTTCTATACAGATGAGGTTATAATTCTGCACCCCACTGTATTATTTGTAATTTGGATTTCGCTTTTTATTTTATTTTTTGTTTTTTTCGTTTGTTTTTTTTGTTTTTTTGTTTTTTTGTTTTTACTTTAAGTTTTCATACATTATTGTCATTTATTAATTTTTGAACCGTATTTTCGTTTAAAAGATGTTTCTAAATTTTACGATCCCCTTGAACATTTTTGTAAATCGGATAAAACTTTATAGATTCTTTTTATTTTTACGTTCACCTTTAAAGAGATAGGAGTCAATAAGGCAAATAGCTGGATGATGTAATAAACTACAATACAAAAAAGTTCATTCCAAGTGAAAGAAAAGATTATAAAAAATAAAAAATAAAATTTTTCTTATATAAATTTAAAATTTTTTTTCTTATTTAAAACTATAATGAATTTAAAAGCCTCACCATAAATTTATATTCATTTTTGATATCCACCATTTTGAGTTCTGTCATAAGAGGTTTTGAATGTTCCCTTTTGAGGCCTTGAGGACTCACCTGTTAGGGTTAGGGTTAGGATCAGGGTTTTTTTCCAGGGTCACTTCCACTCACCTGTTTTTTAACGGGAACGGAAAAAGAAAGGGAAAAATAGTTATGTGGGCATGTGTATTATGAGTTTTATCTTTTCTAAAGTTTGTCAACGCTTGCTCACGTGATTATTTTTCTTTTTCCTATCCCTTCCCGTAGTAAAACGGATATGAGTGGGAAACTATCATATACTTCAGTATCATATACTTTAAAGTTTAAAGTATATGATACGACAAGCGTGTTTTTGACGCCTTTAAATACTTGACGTTTTGGTGTTTGCTTACTTTCCCATGATGTATTTGTATAGTTGATGAAACGGTGGAACAGCTCAAATGTATTAATTTAAGACTTAACGTATAGCCGAACTCGATATATTACGCAAATAGTTTTGGTAATTATTGACTGTATATAATTTATCTTAGCAAAGACATGAGGCCGGGTGAATAAAAATAAGCAATTGCTTTTACTCAGTAATTGGTCAACTTTACGTGAATAAAACTTAAACAATTTGAGTTAAGTTTGTATTTACGTAAAGCCGAGCAGTTACTGAGTAAATTGCTTAACTTTACATGAATAAAAATTTGAGCAAAACTCCTAAAGTTTTTATTTACGTAAAGCTGACCAATTACAGAGTAAAAGCAATTGCTTATTTTTATTCTCTCGACCTAATATCGATGCAAGTCTTAAAAAGTACCAGTTTAGTGGTAATTATTTTTATAAAAAAGATTTGTTTATTATTCATTTCTCAAAAAGAAAAGTTATCTTGTATGGTAAAAAGTTTATGTTTTTAACACATTGTCTTTGTGGGAAAGGTGAGACAAACCATTATTCAGTTTTTTTAATTTTGAGAAACCAGAATAT